TCTAACTCTTCTCCTTCTTGTTTTTTCCCCTTTATTTCGGTTCCTTCCATGTTTTCTTTCTATTCCTCCTCCCTCCAACTTTATTTCAAGTTCTCATCCTTTTCTTATTCCATTCTTCTCCTTTCATCTCATTTTCTTTCTACCTCTTTCTTTTTCTTCTTTGCTGATGATATTTCTGTGTGATAGATAGGTAAATGAAGCTACCTACCTAGGTAGACAGATGATAGATAGATGATAAAGATAGATAGGATGTTAGATGATGATAGATAATGGGTAAGATGATAGACAAATGATAGCTAGGTGGTAGATAGATGACAGGCAGATAAATTTCCTCTGTATCTGTGCATGATGGTATTTGTGTTTTTCAGATAAAACGTTACTGGAAGAGATTCATTCTCCATATGAGACTTTGCTACTTAGGATGTTTTTGACGTACCTGATTTACCTGTCCTTCCACATTTATCACAAGGATTTTGAGTAAGTAGAGCGCAGTTGATGAGCTGGTCACACCAGTTTGAGACCCCTCTGCCTATGTATATCCAATTGAGGGTACATCTGAGTTTCGAGAAGTGCCTCCAGTTTAGATGGGTTTAAAAGGAATTTAGACCAGTTATGGAGTGTTTTTTTTTACGCCTGGAGAAATAGGTTGCAAGGTCAACCTTTTCCTTGCTGTTTGATAAATATGGATGGCTTCCACCCCAAGGAGAGGCAAAGATGAGGAATGTGGGCGGTTGTCGCTTTTTTCACGTCAAGGCCAGTGACATTTACCATCTGCAGTTAATTCTCGGGGAAGTCTTTATATTATTGTTTTTCTAAGTGCTGTCCAATTAATCGAAGTGGCTTTTTATTTCGCTAAAGCTATGGTTTTGCACTTTTGCATGTGGCCCAGCCTTCTCTCACTCAACCCTCTTCAGGTGAGTTGGATCTGAACTCCCAGAATTAAGTTTTGGACCAAGCTGAGTATGGAAAGGACCAGGTTGGGTTGACCACTGAATGCATCTTAACCACTCAGCGTAATGGGGATAGCCTCTCAGATGTAAAATGAACTGAACTTGATTTATTTTTCCCTGAACTTTTGAACCTGTTTTGGTTGGTTCTTCCAATAGCAACCTTATAATAGTAGTCTTCTCTAACCCTAGTGACACAAGTCCTCGCCTATTCAAGTGCTTCTCCAAGTTGATGGTCAAGAATATTTGTCCCCATGCCTGCCGTATCAAAGGTAGGGTCAACTTTTGCGTGGCTGGTGGATTTTCTGACCTTCTTCAGTTTCCCCTCTTATGTTGTCCGACCAATTAATATCCCTGTAGTAACCAGCTAAGGAGCACAGTGGCTCGGGTGGTTAGAATGCTGGAGTGCAGGTTAGCAAGCCCGTGTTCGAGTCCCAAGTGCTGCCGTTGGGCAAGGTTGAGCTTCCGTCCTTCGCTCCAGCTCCTGCCAGAGCCATGAAAGGAGCTGTGATGACCCAAAGGGGCGTGGCACAAAGGTAACACAGTCACATAAGTAAGAAAAGTCTCTTTAGTACCTCCAACTTTGTCCCCGATGTCCAGGTTACCTTCAGCTGGAGGAAAAAACTCTCTCAGGAACAGCCTTTAAGTGGAGGAAATTCAGTCCAAAAACAAAGTACATACAAACTGTAAATAAAAATCCACACAAACCACACTGCAGTAATTAACTGGACAGGGCAGAAGAAGGAATTGCAGACTTGAAAGGCCAGCAAAACACACACAGTTGGGATGACAGCAGGAACCCAGATAAGCCTCAACAATACCAGATAATTCATGATTTGCTCTCAACAATTGGCTATGCGCAGCTTCCTGTTTGAAACACTGTGTTCCCAGCTGCAGCTAATCAAGGGAATCAGGGCCCTTTCCTTCCCCGTAAGTCACGCAACCCACGTTGCTCTCTTCTCCGTTCCTCCCTGCATGCCCTAGGATGAAGAGAGGGTGGGCCTGGGTCTTCCTCTGAACTCCCTCTCCCTTGTTCTCCCTCTCCCCTGCTCCGCCCAGCCAGACTTTGCCCTTCCCCAGTATCTTCCACAGCCAACATAGCCACACTCCCACTCCCTGTCAGCTGCTTGGCCTCCCCCTCGGAATCAGATTCCGACAGGGACATGACAGGAGCCCTCAACTGGGCAACAATGATGTCACCAGCTAATCCTTTCAACCCGGAAGCGCCTTGTTTTTCCCGAGTGCTATGTTGATCACCTCACCTTCTCCTCACCTTCTTCCCAGGCATTTTGTTCAGCGACCGACAGCAAGCCGTCTACGCGCTCAGTTACATCGATAAGTGCTGGGAGATTTTCCAGGCGTTCTGTAGACCAAGCACTCTCCCTCCTTACGAACCTACAATGAAGATGAGACACTTCATGTGGATGCTGGAAGTAATCTTAACTCTCAGAAACTTTTAGCAGCAGGTCTCTTTAACCAACCTTGACCGATCTGATCTTATGGAAAATTCAAGGCCGAGCACACGATCCAATCTGGGTCGGTCAGAAGGATCCAGTGACTGACTCCGATTGGATCTTGCAACCGTCAACTTGTAAAATATTTCTGTGGTTTCTTTTTAGCATTGCCAACAGAACGGGAGGAGGGAAAGGGGTTTGAAAGAGCAGTTGCGGCAGTTTGCAAAACCAAAAGTGCATTCCATAAATGTTTTCAAAGATAGTAACTAGGGGACTTAAGTTTCTACCATGCAAAATTCTAACTGGAGAGCATGATGGATGACTCTGGGCTATGGATGTGTCCCATTGGAGAATATGAATTAGGATACACCCAGGGTTGGGGGAAAACCAGGGTCAAAGGTGACAATGAATGAGGTGTCTCGGAGTCAGCTACACCCAGGCAGTGCCGGCATGTTTATTCCTAATAAATCTTCTTTATGTTTGGAAGTTCAACTAGAGACTCATGATTTAAATGGGGTTAAATGTTGGAATCCTGACAACAACATTATCCTGGGACACATATATTTACCTTCCTTTGTAATCTCAAGGTTATTAACATTGCAAAAGGGCTTTTTTTTTTTCAAGAGGCAACTGGAGTTTTCTGGTTTTTCTTTGAAGACGTTTCGCTTTTCATCCACGAAGCTTCTTCTTCAGCTCTGGGCTGGAGACATCACACCCTCCTATCTAGGTCCTGGCTAAGAAGTGACACCAACTTGGTGGCACCTCAATCAATCATTGAAGTGTGATTCTTAAGACAAACATGGCTAAAACTAACCCTCTTTTTGGGGGGGTTATTTTTCTATCTTTAGGATTTAAGACTCATAAGCAAACAACTAACAGCTACCAAGGTTGTGGATATCTTGGCCAAAGACAATCCTTTCGTCTCGGAGGCAGAGACCCTGGATTTGGAGCATGAGGTACGAACTGAAAAGAGTTTGTGATGAAAACAATTTCAAGAGAAAGGTTTGGAGCAGAAGGGATCTTAGAAGTCTTCTATCTCAGGGGTTTCCAACTTTAGCAACTTTAAGACTTGTGGACTTCAACTCCCAGAGTTCCTCAGCCAGCTTTGCTGGCTGAGGAATTCTGGGAGTTGAAGTCCACAAGTCTTATAGTTGCCAAGGTTGGAGGCCCTTGGCCTAGGCCAATGCTTCTCAACCTTAGTGACCTGAAGTTGCGTGGGCTTCTGTTAGGGATATACACCTTTGTCAGGCAGGCAAATATGTGAGACGAACGTTGTTGTAGCTTACACTCAGTAAAACAGATACAATGTGCTAGTTAAATAGTTTATTCCAGTAAGATTTATAGCATAGTCAAACAGTCCATATATCATACACTAGTTCAGTCCATCCGGGGATTAATCAGTTGCAAAGTCCAGTGTCGAAAAAGAGGTCATTAAACTTACAAATATCAGTCCAGTAATATATCTCTTCGCAGTAGAGATATGAAGAAGTCAAACCTCTTTTCTTCCTTCAGCAACAGCAAAGAACACGCAGTTAACAATCCATCATCGTCTGCAAGCAATCCAGTAAGCCAGCAAGCAATCAAGTTCTCTTGCTCCCTCTTATGGCAATTTACAGCTGCACCCAAAATTACATCCTTTGCAGTTAAAGTGACACACACTTAAACTCACAATCATAGTCTATATATATTATTTTTTACCCAAACTACGTTAGGTAACCATGTTATTCCTAACAGCTTCAGCTCCCAGAATTCAGCCCATATGGCTGAAGAATTCTGGGAATTGAAGTCTACATATCTTCCAAGGTTGAGAAACACGGATATACCCAAGGCTGGTGCACAGAGTTTGCACACACTTGTGCAGAAGAGACTGAGGAATTCTGGGAGTTGAAGTCCACAAGTCTTAAAGTTGCCAAGGTTGGAGACCCCTGTAATATTCTATCTGAAGTCTTAGGTCTATTATGTCTGCAACATTTCGCTGGTTCTACTAATTTAATCCCTTTGCAAAGAACGGGGTAAGATTGGTTTGGCACAATCCGTTTTTAACAAACCCGTGCTGTCTTCTAGCTATAACTTGTTTCTAGATGTTTGCCGATCTGGTTTGTTTTTGTTTTTTTTTAATTATCTTTTCCAGTATCTTTCCAGGTATTGATGTTAGGATGTTTGGTCTGTAGTTTCCAGGGTCTGTGTTTTTTTCCTTTTCCCTACCAGGTTCACTTGGTAGAGAACGTGATGGGGGTTTAAGTAACTCAGATGGACTTTTTGCATGTTGGATTTTAAGAAGACCCTCAATCGTCTTAAGCCTATTTACATTTTGGGATCTCCTTCAGCACAGTCTGGTTCTCAGATTTAATTCCCTGCCAGTATCTTATCTGTTGTGGTTCGCTGGCAGCCTACGGAGACGGCAACAGAGTCAGACAGTGGGGAAGAACAGGGACCAGTCCAGGAGTCTGGGGAGGACTTGGATGAGGGTCCTGCATCTGATACAGAGATTGGGGGCCAGGGCCATCTGGGAGTGGGGTGTTGCCTCCGGAGGCTTTGGAGTCTGGCAGCAGCGAGGCAGAGGAACAAGGGGAGCCTGTTCCCAGTGCGCGTATGCGCAGAGCTGCCAGAAGGCAAGAGCACTGAGACAAAAGGGGCGACTCGGGAGTCAGGCTTGGAGGTGATTGGCCCCTCCCATAAGACATAAAGGAGAAGCAAAGGGACAGGAGCCTTTGCAGGAAGCAACTTTGTTCTCTCTGGATAAAATCTTGACGCTCTGTGTGGACTTCGGTTGGTTTTTTATAATTCATTTGGCACTCTAGTTGTTGGCAGCAATTCAAAGGAAAGAAAAGTGGGTGCTTATCTCGAGGGACTGTTTGGGACTCATTACGGGCTGGGAATGAACATAATTCCCAGCGTTGAAATAAAACAAGATTTGTTTGGACTAAACATGTGCTTAATTATGGTTTCAGGAAGCCTTGGTCAGAACATTATCCTTGAATCCTCTTGACTTCTCAGGACTTCTCTTGACTTCTTTGCCTGGCCTTGTCTTCGGTTTCTCTTTCAGCTTGTCTTCCTCGAGTTCTTTGAAGCTCTGGTAGACTGCGCTCTTCTTTATGTCACCGATGAGATGTTGAAGCAGCAGGCTGATGAGGTGGCCCAAACAGTCACGGCCTCTTACCGACCAGACGAGCTGCCAGACAAGAGTGAAGCTGCCTCTTTGCCTCCCGAATTGCCTTCTCCTCAGGTTAGCCCAGCTCTGGTTCCTTGGATGTGCTCACGCCACTAGCAGATAACAGATAATCAGAGTTGGAAGGGACCTTGTAGGTGAAGAAGTCAAGAAGAGACCCAATAAGTTTAGGCTAAGTTTAAATAGTGGTAACCTTGGATAAAGTTTGTCGTGGCTTAGTGTGTCGAGCAGAGTCTATGCGATTGGTTTAAGTTTTAGCGCAGGGGTGTCCAACCCCGGCAACTTTAAAACTTGTGGACTTTGGCTCCCAGAATTCCATGCCAGCTGGGGAATTCTGGGAGAGGAAGTCCATAAGTCTTGAAGTTGCCAAGGTTGGACACCCCTGCTTTAAATGTGTTGTGGAAAACCAGCCAGGAGCTCTCTTGTGGGAATAATGCAGCTATGGACAACATGCCAAAAATGTGGTTAATGAAATGCGTGTTCCTCCAAGATGGTTGGTAAGGGGCGTTGTTGGCCTAGTCCTGGCCAGATTTTGGAGACGGGCGAGGAAAATGAGGTGCCTGGGCTTCCTTTTTTCTACTCACACTGTGTTCTGTTTCCCACCGCTAGTCCACTCGTACTAGAAGCACCAGCAGTAACAGCACTGAAGCCACCGACGGCAGCACCATCCAAATTGGCTCCAAATATTCCTCAAGCAAGATCGTCCATTTCGTGGAAGTGGGCAAGAGCAAGAAATCGGAAGGCCACAAAAAGGGAAGTCATCACCCCGTTTCCTCGGCCAGGGGCTGGATGGGCGGTAGCAGAGGCAAAGGAAGAGAAGTGAATGGCCCTTCAGTTCCAACCCTTCCAAAACGAGAGCAATGGGATGGAAGGGATCTTGGAGGTCTTCTAGTCCCACCCCCTGCTCAAACAGGAGACCCTGAATGGTTGTCCAACCTCTTCTTAAAAGCTTCCAGCGATGGGACACCCACGACTTCTGAAGGCAACCCGTTCCCACGGGTTAATCATTTTGTCAGGAAATTTCTCCATTCTAGGTTGGGTCTCCGTAAGCTTCCCTCCATTGCTTCTTGCTCTGCCTTCAGGTGCTTTAGGGAATGGAGTTTGCAGAGTGGAGGAGGAAGAGGAGGAAGAGGAAGAGGAGGAGGAGAGGAGGAGGGGGGAGGAGGAGGAGAAGGACAACAACTGTGGGGTTCTTGGTGCTCTCTGAGCTTGGTTATTTTCTTGCAGACTTTTCATTACCCAACTAGGTAACCTCATCAGTATTAGGAGGAAGTGGGGTTACGTTGAGCAACTGTCCTCAGTTCTGCACAGGGCAATTCAAAAGGAATGAATTGAGAGGAATCTGCATATCTTTTTTTCTGGAGAGAAACATCGCAATGTGTCCTTTTGTATCACTCCTTCTTTTCTGTGGTGCCATGCCAAATTTTGCTAACCCACCCTTCCTTTCCTTCCTTCCTTTTCCTTCCTTCCTTCCTTTTCCTTCCTTCCTTCCTTCCTTTTCCTTCCTTCCTTCCTTTCCTTCCTTCCTTTTCCTTCCTTCCTTCCTTTTCCTTCCTTCCTTCCTTCCCTTCCTTCCTTCCTTTTCCTTCTTTCCTTCCTTCCTTCCTTCCTTTTCCTTCCTTCCTTTTCCTTCTTTCTTTCCTTCCTTCCTTCCTTTCCTTCTTCCCTTCCCTTCCCTTCCCTTTCTTTCCCTTCCTTCCTTCCTCTGGTTCCCGATTTATCCCCTTTTTTTTCTGTTTACCTTTTCTTTTCTCAGAAAGGGAAAAGCAAGGAGGGGAAGAAAGAGGAGAAATCCCACAAAGGAAAGTCCCATGGCAAAGAAAAACTTGCTTCCGCTCAAAGTGAGTGTGAAACATCCAGGCTGTATAATCCATGAATTTTGGGTGGCTCTCCAGAGAAATAAATGACGGCAGAATTAAGAGTTTGTCCTTCCTTGAGATGATGTTCCAGGTAGAACAATCATACCAGGGAAGTTGTCCTTGTGTATGTCAGGCTCAAAGGACCAAGAACAACACGAGGAGTTATTTGGGAGTAGTTTTTTTATTGTTGCTCACCTACAGACAGAATCTTGCCAGACTAAAGCAACCACAGACAGAATCTTGCCAGACTAAAGCAACTATCTGCATAAGTATAAGCAGTGCTCGACTTACACCCACACTTTCTGTTATTGAGACATTTGTTAAGTGAGGTTTGCCCCATTTTATGAACCTTTCTTGCCACAGTTGCTAAGTGAATTGCTGCGGTTGATAAGTCAGCAACCTGGTTGTTAAACGAATCCGGCTTCCCCATTGACGTTCCTTGTCAGGAGGTCGCAAAAGGGACATAGCAACGGTCATAAGTATGAACCAGTTGCCAAGCCTCTGAATTTTGATCATGTGACCACGGGGATGCTGCAAAGGCTGTAGCTGTGAAAAATGATCAGGTCACTTTTTCCACTGCCGTTGTAACTTTGGTCATTAAATGAACTGTAGTTGTTAGTCCAGGACTACCTGTAGTATGGAAAGGCATCACGACTCTGCATTTTTTTTCTCAACATAATTGGAGGCTTTCCCCACTCTTAAAGGCAAACCATTGTTTGATTATGTATTAGTTCTGTGTTTTTTTTCTTTCAGGCGTCACTGTGAATGTCGTGTTTTCTCCCATCCCGGAAGAGAAAGAAGCAGTCACTGGACCTCCACCAGTCTTAGAAAAGGAGAAGGATAAAAGTAGTCCAATGAAGGAATTAGCAGGTGTGAGGTTTGCAAGGTGTTTTTGGAAACAAAGGCAATATCACAATTCTGGCTGCCTTTTTTTCCTGCAAGGTTTAATCAGTTGACTTTTTAAGGTGTGAGTGATTAAAAGAAGTAAATATATTTTCATGTTAGCTTATGAAACTGATTTAATCTAGTCTAGATAGATAGATAGATAGATAGATAGATAGATAGATAGATAGATAGATAATAAATGGATAGACAGATAATGGATAGATAGATGGATAGATGATAGATATAGGTAGATAGAATAAGAATAGAATAGAATAGAATAGAATATAGAATAGAATAGAATAGAATAGAATAGAATAGAATAGAATAGAATAGAATTCTTTATTGGCCAAATGGGATTGGACACACAAGGAATTTGTCTTGGTGCAAATGCTCTCAGTGTACATAAAAAGAAAATATATATTCATCAAGAGTCATAAGGTCCAACACTTAATGATAGTCATAGGGTACAATAAGCAATCAAATCCTACTAGGAAACAGTCAATATAAATTGTAAAAATACAAGCGACCAAGTTACAGTCATACGGTCACAAGTGGGAGGGGATGGGCGATAAGGAGTGATGAGAAGATTAATAGTAATAGTAATGCAGACTTTGTAAATAGTTGAACAGGGTTGAGGGAATTATTTGTTTAGCAGAGTGATGGCATTTGGGGAAAAAAATGTCCTTGTATCAAGTTGTTCTGGTGTGCAATGCTCAGAGAGAGAAACAGATGTAGATATAAAATTTCTGGATTTGCCTGCGTTTCGTCTAAAGCAACACATTTTTTTTTAATTTTAGTTCCGAAATTTCCCCCTTTGAAATGGACTCTCCAGACTGTACAATTAGACAGTCGGAAATATTACATTGGATAAGTGGGTATTCCTGCAAGTATCCATGTTCTCACTGGAGGGCAGTAAAGGAACACCAGAGGATATTTAGAAGCTTCTCTTCCTGAGCTATGCAGGGTGCATCACTAAAAGGATGCACAGATCAGATCAGGACGCCCTTCCTGCTACCGTTTATTTTATTGATTCTTTTTCCAGAAAAGCTCGAAAAAGAGAAAAACAAGGAAAAAGACAAGCTGAATCTCTGGATGAGCCAGATGTACATTTTCTTTGTCAAAAAGTTTTTTGCCAGCTACAAGAATTTGCAGCTGGTGAACGAAACCATCATCGATAACAGAGCTCGGGAAGCTGAACTCTTAATCCTGAGGAAAAAACAAGAGGAGGAAGAAGAGGCCAAGTAAGCCACCGTGGTTTGTTCACACGGAATAAAGGTGGGTTGGGGGATCTGAATGTAGCCAAGGGGATGACTGCAACCTGAAAGGTCTCTATCCGTGGTCCAAGTTGGGTTGATTTGGATCAAAGCTGTAGCACGAGGTATCAAGACTCTGGTAGTTACCCCCATTTAAATCATGAGTCTCTAGCCGGATTTTCAAACTTAAAGATTTATTAGGAGTAAACATGCCAGCGTTGCCTGGGTGTAGCCGACTCTGAGGCACATCATTCATTGTCACCCTTGACCCTGGTTTTCCCCCCCACCCCCTGGGTGTATCGTAATTCATATTCTCCAATGGGACACATCCATAGCCGAGAGTCATCAATCATGCTCTCCAGTTAGAATTTTGCGCGGCAGAAGCTTCGGTGCCAGAAGTGGCACACAGAGCCATTTGTGCCGGCACGCGAGCTGCAGGCAAGCTTACCTTACTTCACATGCGCGTGCCTCAGAGCTGATTTTTCGGCTGGTTTGAGGCCTTTTTCGGCCTCCCAAAGGCTTGGAAAAAGCCTCTGCAAGGCTTTTCAGGACGAACAATAGGCCCGTTTTGTCACTTCTTGTAATCCCGGAAGTGACGAAACGGGCCTATTGTTCGTCCTGAAAAGCCCCGCAGAGGCTTTTTCCAAGCCTCTGGGAGGCCGAAAAAGGCCTCAAACCAGCCGAAAAATCAGCTCTGAGGCACAGTGCAGGTAAGGGGGTAGTAAGTGGAGGTGGAGATTGCACATTTGCAGGGGGCATGGGGGTGGGCAAATTGCATTCTGGGTGCTGGCACACGAGTGCGCACAATTTTTGGCACAGGAGCCGAAAAAGGTTAGCCGCCGCTGGGTTGAGGAATCCCACCCCTGGTTTGAAGAGCCTGACAGATCTCTCCTTTCGGTTGGACAGGCTCAAGGCACTGAAAGAGGCCGAGGAGGCCCGAAAATTAGAAGAAGCGGCCGCTGAGAAAGCAGCCTTGGAACTGGAAGAAAATCTGACTCGGGAAATGGAGGAAAATCTAAGCCAGGCCCAATCCCCTCCGAAGGAGGACTCCCCCACATTGGTTCAGAGCACGGCCGGCAGCAAGGCAGTCGTCGCAGGGAAGAAGAAGAAGAAGTGAGACGGGGCCACCCACGGCCACCGTTACAGCCAGTTCTCGGCCTACAACCGCCACGGAGCCTGGCATTTGTCGCCAAGCGAGACAGCCGTCGAGCTGAGCTTTGCCCCCTTTTTGTGACCTTTCTCGCCACGTGTTCTGAAGCAAATCACTGCGCCCGTTAAGTTAGTAACGCGGTTGTAAACAAACCAGGCTTGTCCAAAGGTCACAAAAAAAAAGAGCGACGACGACTCCGGGACGCTGCAACTGTCGTTAAGTACATGCCAGTTGCCAAGCCGATGGATTCTGATCACGAGACCGTTGAGGATGTTACGAAGAGGTCATGAAAAAGTCACCAGTCCCTTTGCCGTATGTCCGTTTAGTGACCGTTTGGAGTTACAAACAGTCACTGAACTGTTTTTCACACTAACAGCCGTTGCAAGCATCCCCAGAGTCACATTATCTAAATCCAGACTCTTGGCCACCAGTTCATATTTATGACACTTGCCATAACCCAGAGTCACCTGATCTCCTTTTTGCAACCTCTCGACAAGCAAAATCCATAGGGAAGCCAGATTCCCTTCACAACCGTGTGGCTAACTTAACAACTGCAGTGGTTCACTTAACAACGGTGGCAAGAAAGGTCATAAAATGGGGCAGACCTCCCTTCAGAAATGTCTCATTCAATGACAAGAAATGGTGGGCTCCATCGTGGTCACGAGCCAAGGACGATTGACAGGCCATCAAAACATTCCCAAGGCAAATAGCTGCCAATAAAACGAGCTTATTTTATCAACAAAGAGCAAGAAAGAGGATTAAAGTGGTAACAATTCAGTTTTATTTTTCCAGTAAAGTCAAGTTTCCGCCGTGACTGAGACAAGGAACGACACGGGTTTCCTTCTGACCAAATTTAATCCAGTTGAACATAAATATACTTTAAAATCTTTTAAAAAAACAACTTGGAGAGCACGTGGTTTTTGTAGAAAGTGAGATTCTGAGAAAGCAAGTATTGCTTTACTATTGCCATTAGGCCAGTCAGTAATACGACTCGATTGACTGGTCCCAGTAAACAAATCACACCTCTTTTAGGGGTCTTGAAGCCGTCTTCAAAGAATGAGAGCTGCAGCTGATCAATCCAAGAAGAAAATATTGTTGAACTGGGTTGCACAAAGTTTCTTTACTTCTTCTGAAGAGGAGAAAGAAGGAGTTTTAAAGCTTCAAAGAAGGAAGTTACCATCAGTAGGACATAAATGTTATCTTTAGCAGATTTCCCGAAGGCTGCCTATTTTTTGTATTATTTCTGTGGTTCCAAGCTGGTTTTTTTTTAATTTTACTTATTCATTTATTTTTGAGGGACAGCCTACTAAAAAAAGCCTCAGAATGGTCCTTATTGTCACTGCAAGACCCCAAAACTGATGGGAGTCCCTTCTGCACAAGCGTGTGCAAACTCTGTGCACCAGCCTTGGGCATATCCGTGTTTCTCAACTTGGAAGGTCTGTGGGCTTCAATTCCCAGAATTCCTCAGCCACATGGGCTGAATTTTGGGAGCTGAAGTCCACGCAACTTCGGGTCACCAAGGTTGAGAAGCATTGGCCTAGGCCAAGGGTCTCCAACCTTGACATCTTTAAGACTTGTGGACTTTAACTCCCAGAATTTCTCAGCCAGCATAGCTGAGGAATTCTGGGAGGTGAAGTCCACAAGTCTTACAAGTTGCCAAGGTTGTAGGCTCTTGGTAGGCAACTACAAACCTTTGTGTCCACTCAGAAAAATCCAGCTTCATATACAAAAGAAGAGCAATGAAGGTCAAGTCATGGTCAAGTCAAGTCAATCAAGGCTAAAAGTCTTTGGCACAGCCTCTTTGGGAATTCACCTCGATTGAGACGTACTACAGTTCCCAGAATTCCAAGCTGGGTGGGGTGTCATGCCCTTCACACATCTGGTGGATTTAATGCTTTTAGGGATCTCAGGTCTTAAGAGCACATAGGAAGAATAGGTCAAGCTATTCTCCAAAGCACCTGAAAGGCAAGACAATAAGCCATGGATAGAAACTAATCCAGGAGAGAAGCAACCTAGAACCAAGGAGAGATATCCAGAACAATTAATCAGTGGGACAACTTGCCACCAGAAGTTCTGGTTGCTCCAACAGTGGAGGTTTTTAAGAAGAGTGGACAACCATTTGTCTGAAAGGCCTGAGCGGGGCTTGGACTAGAAGACCTCCAAGGTCCCTTCCAACTCAGTTACTCTGTTATACTACACATTGATGGAATCAAATGCAAATTCTAGGCCTGCCTCACTCACATCTGCATTTCTTTCTGTTTCTTCTGCCTCAAAACCTACAGCCACCTCCTCATGGCTCTTCCCCCCTGCTTCACAATGATGGTTCTAGATTAAAAAGGATGCCGAAACAGGCAAACAACTCATATTTCCCAGTGAGATTAAAGCCGTATACAATATCTGAGAGTTCCTTACCGTTCACTTCAATCAGGTTGGCGTTCTTCTGATTCAAAATGACGTACAGTTCCCGCTGATCCGACTTCTTGCCGACAATCCAGTAGTCGCTCATGGCTTTCACAATGATTTCTTCATCATCCTCCACCCTTTAAAGGAGGAGGAGGAGGAGATCAGATTCCAATAAAAGAAAATATCTGTAGCTCAGCGTTAAAGTGAGGGATCCTCGGTGGCCTCTGAGCCTGGTTGTTTTCTGGTAGACGTTTCATTACCCAACTAGGTAACATCATCAGTGCTAGAAGGAAGTGGAGTTTGTGGGGAGGAGGAGGAGGAGGACGAGGACTGTGAAGTCCTTGGTGCTCTCTGAGCTTGGTTGTTCTCATGTAGATGTTTCATTACCCAACTAGATAACTTCAGTACAAGTACTGATGATGTTACCTAGTTTGGGTAATGAAATATCTGGCAAGAAAACAATCAAGGTCAGAGATCAATTTCCAGAAGTATGGAAAACTCAATTAGAAATAAACTCAGGAGGGAAAAATTGAAAAAAAATAAATCATCTAATCAATTGAGGATTAAACAAAATGTCCACAACCATTTTCTTAGCAACTAAGTGGTTTGCTCTTCCCTTCTCCCTCTGTGGTGTGTGTGTGTGTGTGTGTGTGTGTGTGTGTGTGTGTGTCTTAACTTCCCAGTCCAATCTACCTCAGACTTCTTTGTGGTCTTCAACCAAATACTACACACAGCTTGTTCAAGAACAATGTAGGTCAGACAGATTGTGAGCCAATCATAAATACACCAAGGCTTAAATATCCTCTGAAGAAGCAAGCTTTGATTTTTGCTCAGTCCCACATTTAGAGATAAAAACTGCAGTTTTCAACGTTTTGGGCATTCACACACAAAGTAACTGCCCTGATGTGTGTGACACAGTGAAAAAAAAACACCCATATACAAGAAGACTAACTAACAAACAGACCCCAATTTTATTTCGTGGAAAAGCATCCAAGATGTTATTTGATGCCCACTGGCATTGTTGGAGGTGCCAATTCCATTTAAAAGAGGCTTAAGATAAAGTCATGAACAAACATTGGTCCAAAATGGACGTATTATTATTCATCCTGCATCTGAAACGATAAGGAGAGCGATAAATAGTTAGTGGGGGACAAGAAAGGTAGATCACCTCGTAAAATCGTTGTTGATATCGCCAAGGATCTTCATCAAGTCAGGATGGACGGATGTGAGGGACAAACTGGACGTTCTCCTCAGATGGATGGTGCTCTTCTCAGCCAGGTTCATATGATTGAAGTAGATAAATTTAAACTGAGGCTCCTTCTCGGACCTAAGAAAGAGAGGAACGGAGAGATTAAAAGAGGCACCAGAACTCTGGTGTGTAACTCCAGGACGGAGGTACCTTTCAGGTATATCAGAACTCCTAGCAATTGGTTCATCTATCAACCTGAGATGAGGATGGAGCCAAGCGCACCGTCGATGGCTTGATTTGTTCAGAGTGCTGAACCCTGGTGCTTTTTCAAGGGGCAACTGGAATTTTCTGGTTTTTCTTTGGAGGTGTTTCATTTCTCATCCAAGAAGCTTCTTCAGCTCTGACTGGATGGTGGGGAATGGAAGGATTTCTACTCCTTGCAGACAGCTGGTTGTTTGCATCCTTTCTATTGAATCATTTGAGGCCACTTGGTGGTTTGTCTGTGTCCTCAGGATCACCTCAGTAGCGCAAATGTCCCTGCAGCCTGCAATATTTCTCTGGAAATCCATTCATACTCCCACACCATTAGAAAGATGTTCATCCCAAACTCTCCCCACCCACCCCAATATTTTTTTTTAAGGGAACTGACCCAGATATCCTTTTCTTGAGGTTGTATTGTTCGCAGATATCCGAAGCTAAGACAGTAAGTTGAGGGCCCACCAGGCCATCGAGTCGGCGGCAGAAATCCAACGTAGGTTGCACAGAGGCTGGGAAAGATTTAGGGGTTGAGGAGGGGGGGGAAGGGGAGAAGAAAGGTGAGAATTGCCCCACCTGGAGCACAGGTGGCAGATCCACATGGCACAGAGGAAAGGTTCCAGGCCTGAGGGTGACACATGTCCAAGGCAGGGCTGCAAGGCCCGGACACACAAAGGGACCGGTTTCCATAAATGTTGAGGCGCCGAGATTTGGACTTCACAAAATTACGTGCCAAAAGGTAAAGAATCTGAAAGGCGCTAGTCAGATCTGAGTTTTCAATACTTCCAGAAAAGGCAGAGCATTTTTTAAAAAATAATCACCTTGTTCCTCTGCTCCCAAATTAGAAAGCAAGTAGACCTGCTTGAGGGTAATTTGACTATGAACATTTGCGATAGGGCAGGCGGTGGATCAGGGTGGGATGACCCAGGGTGGGATACAAAACAAACACAGTCACAGAAAACAGGTGAAGCCCCTTTTATTCCTTCACTTTGCTTCCAAGCTCCGAATATCTTTGACGGAAGACAAAAAAAACCCCACACAAACAGTTACACGAAGAAGGAAAAAAGCAACACAAACCAGGCAAAATAAGGGCTGGAGGATGTTCACAGATAACATACACTGGGAAGGACGCCAAACTCAAGAGAGGAACTATAAACTAGAGATATTTACAAGCTTTGTTTCCAGCGTTTGCCAGTACGCAGGTCCATCCTCTTATTCAGTTGTCACAGCTGCAGCCCATGAAGAGGATCAAGGCCCTCTCCTCCCGAGGAGACCATGTCTCTCCTTATCCTCTCCTCCCTGCGTGCCCTAGGATGGAGAGGGGATGGGCCTGGGTCCTCCTCTGACTGCCCTTCCCCAGCCTCCTCTAACAACCTCCGGAGCCACACTTCCACTCCGTCGGCTGTTCCTCCTCTCCCTCGGAGTCAGTCTCCGCCAGGGGCATGACACAGGGAGAGGATAGTAAGAGTCTCAGAGCCACAATGTGGGGAGAGATATTTATGTACGTGTTAAGATTTTCATCCCACCTTTATTGTTTTTATAAGCAACCCAAGGCAATGAAGATAGCCAATAATTGTCCTTCGTCCTCTTATTTTTCCCGTAGCAACAACCCTGCGAGATGGGTGAGGCTGAGAAAGAGAGGGACTGTCCCAAAGTTACCCAGTTGGCTTTCATGCCTAAGGCGGGACTAGAATTCACAGCTTCCCGGTAATGGGCTCAAAAATCACCCAGTCAGCTTTCATAGCTAATGTGGGACTAGAACTCACCGTCTCCCGGTGATTGGGTCAAAGTCACTCAGCTGGCTTTTGTGCCTAAGGTGAGGATTGGAACTCACCGTCTTCTGGTGATTGGCCCAAAATCACCCAACTGGCTTTCATGCCTAAGGTGGAACTAGAACTCAGACACCTGGTTTCTAGGCCAGCATCTTAAGTACTACACCAAACTGGCACATGTAATAGAGATTGGGCCAGGCCCTGCTCCTAGTTGGGCCCAGGGATTTTATTTGATTCATTCAGGGGTGGAATATTTCCCTCAAAACTTT